AAAATTAAAGAACCTAGAACACACAAAATCATTGGAGATATTGCGTGGATAGCAATTAGAGCTTAAGATAACAGGACAACTTAAAAAATTTATCTTCGAACATAATTGTCGAAGAACGCTCAATCTTAGTATCATCATGACGGTACCCGTTAAAGAGATTGTATACGAAAAAGATTAGAAATATTTTCTTTGGATGATTGTCATGCAGACAAATGATTAGTTCTCGTCTGCTTGGTGAAAAAATCCAGGCACGGTTCTCTTCGGTTTCATTGCATCATGTACAAGTACCATTGTAAGTTAGCATTGCGACTTGATCAACTAATGGCGAACAAGGATAACAGGGCTTTAATGGAAGCTGGCGAGTCTTCACTTTGTCACCAGATTTCCGGTTTCTGTATTTTCAACCATTTTTTTAGGGAAAAAGAGGCTGAAAAACAAAAGAAAAATGTAAGAAATGTATAATAGAACAGAAAAGGATCTTTAGGAAGTTAAACATAGTACCCGAGCTAACAAGTCTCGTCCTTTCATAAGATCACCTCCCAGTGAAGGGCATCATTATATGTATCAGGCATTCACCAAATCACATGAATAAATGTAAGAAAGTAAATTGCAAATGTAAATCCAAATCAATCACAAAAAACTGATGGTCAAAGTTCTAACTTCTAAATAATTCAAGAGGAGCAGGTGCTAGTTTTAATACGTGAGGTAAAAAGTATATGATTAGGGGTAAACACCACATGCGCAGACACAACATTATGAATTCAGACAAGGCAAATTAAACCAACATTGATACATGAGTCACATGATAAGCCCGACATACATGAAGTGCGAGGATATAGTAGGATATTTACTTGCCACATGAAACTGTAGTCAACCCAACAAATTTACTCTGTTGATTGGAGTCTTGAAAAATTAGGAAAAAAGAATATTGGTATGGGAAAACAAAGTCATTAGTTTCATCAAAAAAGAGAATTTTTTATGAGGATCACTGAAGGTGCTTTGAAGAACAGTGAATGGTACGATGAGAAATGATTTAGGTTTTAAGTTACTCACAATTTACATTCCACAAGTAGCTAAGCTCACAGTTCACTCAATGCCAAATGCACTGATTAGTATTCAACTTCAAATGATTGCATTTTGCATCTTCTACATCAACATCAACATACCCAATATATTCCCAACAGGTTGAGGGGGTCAGTTGTACGCAGACCTTACCATGTAATTATACAAGGAGGCTGTTTCCATAGCGACCCAAGGTGAGTTGCGTCGTTTGATATATTTTTTTCTAGAAACTTCACTAATAGAAGAAGCACTAGAATTTAATTGAGCCATTTTGATCTAGTCCATTATTAACACTATGCTAGGAGAATTGTCAACAATGACTCTTCCAGCTCCAATTTAAATAATAATTGAGTCGTACTTCACTTGATTTGTGATGTCTAATAATATCTCACAACACAATAGACTGTAAGTACAAGTGCTTTACGATGCGTCATGATAAAAAATGTAACTTATGACAATTTGGCAGGTCTATAGGATGTCCCCATGGTTTAAATTGCTACGACAACAGATACAAAGAAAAGACAAATTCAAGTATTCAACCACGATATAGCAAGAAAGTTTACTGAAGATGAGGAAAACTTGATTTCCTAGATAAAAGCGTGTGAAAGCACCGAATATGAAGCAAAGAATTATTAGACTGAAAAAATTGCCGCGAACTATTTTGATGATATAGAAGTAATGAGTATAGAGGAGTATTATACTAATCCTGCATACAAGCTTGTTTCTCAGTATTTCCTGAAATTGACAAATATATTTTAAAAATATAATGAAACTGGTTTTCAAAGGAGATTAACAAAAATTTCTATTCATCCAATGCCATGAGATGATCTAACACACTTCCATGACTGTCAAAAATGATTGGAAGTATCCATTTAACCATGAAATGTAAAAGGGGAGAGCATGGAACAAAACTTGATACCTCGGTGCATCAAAAACTGGGCGAACCCTCTCAAAAATTTCATCTTCTGATCCAGTACCGTCAATCTGCAAGGATACAGATTTATAATGAAATAAAAGTAGATGGAAAAATAAATCAACCATAACGATTATGAAGAAAAAAGAAAGGCATATAAACACATGAATGTAAAGTAGTTAGTGTCTTCCTTTCATGACCAAAAATAAATATTTCAGTTCTTCAATTAGGAAAAAAAA